GGTGGGTTACACCTTTATTAGAAAAAGGTACTATAGAAATGTGTTATTCTTAATATTGCTATCTTGTTTATTATTGGGTTTTAATTACTTTTGCCTTTTAATATGTTAGACAAGATAAGGATGGTATCTATTATGTCTAATGAAATTCAATATTTTGAGGGAAGAAAAAGACTATTGAATCAAACTTTAACGACGAAAATTACTTAAAAATAATGTAGAATGAAGTGGAATTGAACGGTGTGGTATTGTTCATGATAGTGCAACACAAGCATGTCAATCCAAAGTGGATAAGGTAATCAACTTCCTCAATTTCCAATCCTCCTTTTTCCCTGATTTAAATCAATGTCTACATCTTTGCTTCCACTTTCTGATCCAAAATTCAGAATGTGCCACAAAGACTTGGTTCATAGGAGCATCTTTGGTGGTGCAATGAGTGAAACAAGTCACTTGGTGAGAAATCATAATTATTAATTTTATCTTCCAAGAAAATATGAGGGAGATCATATCATGTATCACCTCTTTAATAGAAACGAACGAGATGTATTGTGGGTGGGTTACACCTTTATTAGAAAAAGGTACTATAGAAATGTGTTATTCTTAATATTGCTATCTTGTTTATTATTGGGTTTTAATTACTTTTGCCTTTTAATATGTTAGACAAGATAAGGATGGTATCTATTATGTCTAATGAAATTCAATATTTTGAGGGAAGAAAAAGACTATTGAATCAAACTTTAACGACGAAAATTACTTAAAAATAATGTAGAATGAAGTGGAATTGAACTAAATTTGCATGTCAAAACGTTGCATTTTCATCCAAACGGTTTTCATGTGGTCCCAAGAGAATCTAACTCTATATAACATATCATTGATAATTGTTCAATTTGTCATTTGTGTCATATCCACACATTTGGCGAACCTACAGAGGTGCAATGAGGTGCAACTTGCAGCTACATCTTCTCTCGCCGGAGAAAGGGTTGCAGGTGATGGAAAGTTTCCCCTTCGCTCAGTCTGGTTGTGCACTCTACTTGTTTGACAAAAAGCCTGCTTTCCTTGCGCCCTTTGTTGTGTAGCTGCGTTGCACACTTTTTATTTTTTATTTATAAATTTTAAAAATTCCTAGCCAAAACGACGTCATTTTGGACTAGAGGAAAAAATAAAGGGAAGGAAATTCAGCGTGCTTTAGACAAAAAAGGAGGGAATCTCCTTAAGAAGATTTGTTTACAAATGTTGTTTGTACTGATTCCTATACAATTATAAAATGATTCCAGCATAATCATTAAACCCAACGCCTCTTCGAAAATGATTCATGCATAATCAAAAAATGAAAGCACCTCATTAGATGCTTTCCCTTGTAGTTTTCTCTCACAGCAATTTTTAACAATAAGTGATTTTATCATAGTTTACCAAATGGGTTGAGCTTTCCAATTTTTTTTAAAAAAATCACTTATCACTCGAAATAAGTAATGCCAAACGGGCACTAAGTTCGTTTTTTTTTCTTCTTGTTTTCTTTTTTATGTTTTGTTTAACTCTAGTATTCTATTTCATCGATCAAGTCTTGTGCCAAGAAAGAAAATATTTTATCGATCAATCTTCCGAAGTAAGTTCATCAAACATGCTCCAATTTTTTTTCTTCTTCGGCAACTGTCGTGTCTAACAATAAGTGATTTTATCATAGTTTACCAAATGGGCTGAGCTTTCCAATTTTTTTTTTTTTAAAATCACTTATCACTCGAAATAAGTAATGCCAAACGGGCACTAAGTTCGTTTTTTTTTTCTTCTTCTTGTTTTCTTTTTTGTGTTTTGTTTTGAGAGAACTCTAGTATTCTATTTCATCGATCAAGTCTTGTGCCAACAAATAAAATATTTTATCGATCAATCTTCCGAAGTAAGTTCATCAAACATGCTCCAATTTTTTTTCTTCTTCGGCAACTGTCGTGTCAGTTTCGTTTTTCTTGTAATAATATTTGGCCTTTCAAATATGTGGTTGTCAATTTTTTATTATTATTATAAATAGAATACTATGGCAGTATGGTCACGTGCTAAATCTTGTATACGTGTTATAATATAAGTGAAGATTTATAGATACTATTCCCTAAAAGGGGGAAAAATAAACCCTGTCGTCCATCCATATTATAACACGTGTACAAAATGTACCACATGGCAGTACTATCGTAGTATTCTATAATTTCTTGAAAGACATAATACTATGCCAGTATGGTCACGTGCTAAATCTTGTACACGTGTTATAATATAAGTGAAGATTTATAGATACTATTCCCTAAAAGGGGGGAAAATAAACCCTGCCGTCCATCCATATTATAACACGTGTACAAAATGTACCACATGGCAGTACTATCGTAGTATTCTATAATTTCTTGAAAGACATAGCTTTTCTATGGTAGATCCCCATGTTGTATCCTACCCTCTACTTTGTTGTTGGAAAAATTCTACCATTTACATTGAACATCCCGATACGACTCGAAACACGACTCAAAGCCCGCACAAAGAATTAGCGAGTCAACTTGCACGATTACAATTGCAAGTCAAATTTGGATCAACTAACCATGACCCGTATAATAAACGGGTGGATTTAGGGTTAACCCGCTAACCAGCGAAACAACCTACTTGACATGTTTATTATTTAATTTTAAAATTTTATTATTAGTAATAAATATGTGGCATGTATGTATTGGCACATTCTATTCTATTCCACCATTCATCCTAGGGTAGTGGATTTTCAACCTAGCCAAATGAAAACCTTAGCCTAAGTCGATCTCCTCATTCTAATTCTTATCTTTATTTTGAATTTAGTGTCACATGTTTAATAATTTGTTAAATATGTTATTAAACAAGTTACCTGTTTAATAACCCGTTTAACACAATTCGAACCTGAACCCGACATGTTTATTAAATGAGTCCGATTTGAGTTGAGTATTCTTGACACATTTATTATTTTGACACAACACAAACCCGATACAACCTGAAGTATTACCATCCTTACATTGGATGCTACAATTTAACAAATATTATTACTTTGTACCATAAATGAGACCCAGTTTTTGGCATTTGTAAAACATGTCACAAAAAATAGCAGCACCCCGGAGAAGACTTGCATATCTTAGTGGTACCAAGAAGAAAGCCTCAATTTTTTTTTTTAAATTTTATCGTGCAAGCATGATATTATGGTTCTCATCTTTACTTAGTTTATAAAAAATGGTGGTTCTTTATTGAGCCATACGATCTTGACTGCATGTGTAGTGAAATAAATATGAACAAGTTGAGCGGGTTCCATTCCACCATCTCCTTCGAATATATAGAAAGCAAAAAATTGATTTTTCCCACGACCTTGAATACTATAAAAGAAATAGAAGTTTACATAATTGTCGTTGATGACTGTTAACGACATTAAAATAGAACAATAAGTTCAGCCAATCAAATGGTTTTTTTTTTGGGTTGAGAAATTATAGAATTGTATTTATAATTCTGCTAAAAAAAGTCACTTGCCACAAATGGTCAATACAAACCAGCCATAAAAGTGCCATTACAATAACGGAACAGTCTAACATCAAAATTAAGACAAACTGGTGCGTCAATCAATTGGGTTTAGGTTGTTAACGACAATTTTTTCTTATAATTTATAAGAAAATTAAAGAATGCCTTGCTAAAGAGATTATTAGGTGACAGAGAGGTACATGTCGTCTTCTCTATTCATTTCTTCCAACAGCTCATCTCTTCAACTTTAAGTTTATCCACTTGATTTTGACAATTCGTAAAGAATGGGGCTCCATCAGAAATCTCAAGTCTTTCACCCACCTGCCGTCGTTATAGAAGCATGATCCAATTTTGCTGGATTGAACGTCAAAATATAATATCTGTCACACCATCACATATAGTTATTATAATTGAATATTTACCTTTATACTTGAGTTTAGATTATATTATAAATAACAAACGGGGTCTAGTCCAGTGGAAAAGTGCCTTGACTTATAGACTAACAGTCTCATGTTTGAATCCCTATGACACTTTAATTACTTGTGTGAGAAACCTCCTATCCTCGTAATTTAGACTCTAACTTATATTTATTAAAAAAAAACCTCTATTGTACATCTCAATTACAATCTTCTTAGTAAAAGAAACAGTAAAAAAAAATGTTAATTTAATTAAATAATTGGGATAGGTCAAACTTTATTAAGGAAAGTTTAGAGGTTCAAGAGTCCAAAGATGCTGCTGTATTCACACGCATTTTCTTCTCTCAAGCCGATCCTCGACTAGCAGACACACATGCAATAAGAAAAGAAGAAAAGAAATCAACGCAGTGAGCCACAAGGCATTCATTTTCTAGGGGCCATACCATAATTTGTCTTATATTTCTTTCGTTTTCCCATGGTGGTTGAAATGTTGGCTTGTTACTAGAAAGATGAGTTAAGTCCTACAAAAAATTAGCTCACTCTAGATCCACACGTGGCTCTATCACAGCTCAAGTTCGAATATCTCCTCTCTTTTATAATTTTTTTTAAAAAAAAAGGTTCGAAAAGTTGCTAGACTGATATCTAAAACACATTAATCTTGTATGGTTTCTCTACATGGTTAGCACTAGGACGATTAAAATGTAAGATGGGGGGCCATGATTCATAACATAACCCCGTTATGGTAAGGCAGTCCATGTATTAGGCAAGATCACTGATAAGCTATATGGATGAAACTAAGCCAATAATGTAGGTCATGGTCAACTCGTTTACTCTCCTCCAGGTCCTTGAGACGTTGTTTATTACAAATCCAGGTACAGAGAATATCTTTCTGATGACCAAAATTAGTTGCGTCTGTCACAAAATTTGCTTCTTGGAAAATATATCGTAGTTTATTGCACCGGAAAATTCTTAAGAATTCCTCGAATATCCGAATAAAGAGAAAAGAAGATGTCAAGGAGGAGGATTATGCCCTGCAACAAATTTCCCTTCATAAAATATGCAAGTTAAGGCAGCAATCAAATGACAAAATAAAAGAAAAAGATAATAGATTCAACAAAAAAATTTAAGTTATAGCTTAAGAATTTGTAATATTCCAACTTCTTTGCATGAACGAAGGCAGAGGAGCAACCAACTCTAGGCTTTCTAATTCTGAAAGATCACTATCTGAATGCAGTTTCACATTTTGCAAAGCCAGATTCACATCAGGCAAAACCATTTGCTTACAATGAAGATGCAGGCGGGGATTCTTTTCGGAGACACTTCCACTTTCCATATTGAGATCAAAAGGGAGGTTTTTTCTCTTGGGAAACTCCTCATCTGAATGACATTCATTATTAGACCAAGCTAACGGTTTCCAGTTCCTATGAGTTTGCCACCCATACTTGTAGTCTCCAACTATCGGTGTTCGCAGAACCTCAGCACAGTGTACACGCAGCTGCAATGCTCACACATGGTTAGAGGAGTTGTTCACAGAGAAAAGTGACTTTGTAACTAAGTAATAAATCTGCTAACAAGTGCTTAGTTTTCTGATCCATACCTGATGCTTTCGGCCAGTAAGAGGGGTTAGCTCTAACCATGTGTAACCTGCACAATCAATAGTGGAATATCAGAAGCATATACTCAGAGGGCAATATTATTTGTCAATGAATTTGTACAAGAAAGCTGCGCCAAAATATCTTCATTCATGATTGTTTGGAGCCAAATGTTGAAACTAAAACTGCAGCATGTATTGCACGCTTATGTGCAATGGCAAAAGAGTTTGTTGCTAACCAGGACATGGTGATCCAATTACTTTGTACTTTGTAATGGCATGCTGAGATGGCAAAGTTTGTGAATCGTTCACAATTGTAATTCGATCTGATTTACCATTGTCCACTACCACCTGAAAGCAATCAAAGCCCCAAAATATTATAAGTTCAGTATAATTGTAAATTTTATACACTTTTTATACACTGTTATTTGTTCAATGCATCACTGAGACTACGAGAAACCACTTAATCACATAGAAATATTCTAACTGAATTTTATTATTTTCTAAAGGGTAATCTCTAGGTGTGGATGGGTGAGTGTCAGAGTAAGTGCATTCAAGAGTACTCTAACCTTTCCCAAAGGTGCTGAGATTAAACCCTTTCGTTGTCTGGGAGATCCAATGACAAGTGCCCAATACCTTCTTTGCAGAATTCTTTTTGCATCATCAATTACCTTTAAACAAATACAAACATGAGGTAAATTGACATGTAACAGAACTAACAACCTAGCAACTTGATGACCATGCATGGATCCTTCCAGAAACAAGCACCAACAGAGAGAGTGGACATTTACTCACATCATTTGATGCTCCAAAAGTTTTCTCGCGGAAGATCGAATGCAAAACTGTCGCACTTGTTTGTGTCCTTCCCATCACCAGGATACCACTACTATCTCTGTCAAGTCTGTGTACCTAACAATCACAAAGATTCTTATCCAAGAAAAAAAGAAAAGGAAAAAGGCAAAAACAAACAAACACGGAGCTTGTTCAAGGAAGATAGATAATCGATACATCCAAGCATCCATAAGACTGCTGTGGAAATAGAAGTTTCCATGCAAGTATGCGCTTGATACAATGATTGAGATTCTAATATAAAGTCTATAAAACTAAATTTTCCGTTAATCAATTCTTGCATTCATTGAAATAAAAAAAAAGTTCCTGTTTCCATTCTGTCTAGGTCTCATAATGACACAACTGTTTACCAGCCCAACCAAGCTAAGTTTGAGGATGCTTAACCTGGAATCATGAAGCAATATAGCTCACAAGTGGCTCCATCTGGTTGAACATGAAATATGCGAACAAGCTGCTAGTCAATGAGTTGGCTAGAGCTTCTCAATAGTGGCTTGAGTCACATGCAATGAATCTCTCTTTCACTCCATACTCACTCTAGATTTTACTATTACATGAAAGGTCCCCATTCAATATTTTAGAAGTTCAACGAATATACTGCTTACGATACAGCTACGACAATGAATTCTGCACAAGTTAAGGTTTCCTACTAACTCACCAGCCGAGGGGGTTCTGAGAAGTCATAACTTAAACAAGCAGCAGCCAGTTCATCTAAACTTCTTTTGATGCCAATACCACCCTGTGCAAACACTATATAATTCAATATGTGGGAATCAAATTAAACTACTAACAAACCAAGGGTACGACAATAACCTTCAATGAAGTATCAGTAACTAACCTGAACAGGCATTCCAGGGGGTTTGTTGATGACAATAATGGCTGGATCCTAATTTCAGGAACAAAAAGATGTGTTGGGTAAATTATTGTAAGCAAGATAGCCAACTTAAATGGACACAACAGAGATCAAAGTTATGAACCTTATACAACTCGAGGCTACGGATAAAGGTGACTTCTTCTTCACTACAATGGCACTCCTTTTTATCATTGGGCAACTCTTGTTTATCATTGGGGAACTCTTGCACAGAAATAGGAAGATGTATTCGATCTCCTACATTCATTGAGTCTTTAGCCGCAACCTTTGGATAAATTAAAATCAGAAAGAGACCATTCCCATATTATTACAAAAACCAAAACTCTATCAATTTAATTTCCCTGACAAAAATAAATACATAAAAGCCCAGAAAAAGTATGAAAGTAAGAGCAATATCAGTTACCCTTTTAAGTGGGCGCTCAAGTGCCTCAACACCTTCACCAGAACACTCCATGTCACAAGATTCTCTTCGAACCTGCAAAAGAAATCAAGTAAGCTACTTTCCAATTGGATTTCAAAAACCCATCTCCAAAATGTACTCAAAAACCCATTTCCAAACCTGTCTTAGGCGAAAGAGCTTCTGAACGAGGCTTCTAGGAAGTTCCGGGCAGCACCGAGTAACCCATTTAAGCGCCGTGGTAGTGGTGGAGGTGGTGGAGGCAGTGGCAGTGGCAGTCTTCGTAATTACATCTCTGCCGTATGAACGATTGCGAGAGAGCTCCTTTCCCAAAGCGCTGCCGTTTATGGTGGCAGTAAACGGAGGTAAAGTGAACCATTTTTCACCGCGCTTTTCTCTGTCTTCGTGAAATGTTTCAGTGGTGGCGTAAGATCGCCAGTTGTGGAATGCTGAGATGCAGAGCCTCGCCGCGGAGGACGGTGGTGGCCGGAGGAGGAGCCGGCGGAGGAGTATAGGGCCCACCATGTTTGAGATTTTGGGGGTTTAGGCCAAAGTTGGGGGTTTTCACTTTGCTTTCTCGTAAACCCTTCGGTTTAGTAACCGGGAAATTCGTAACGTTCTCCGGTGCCCAGTAAACTGGTATGTCTTATGGGCCCGGTCTGTCCATGTTCGTTATAGGCTTAATAGCCCCCAAGTCCAATTAGTCGAAGGCTAATGGCTCGTTTGTGACTGTTTCTTTAGGAAATACTTCTGCTCATAAGAGCATCTCCAGCCTTGGCACAAGACTGGGCAAAAGGCCCCCCAAGGCAGCCCAAAGATGCTCCAGCGGAAGAAAAATGGCCCGGGCAAATGATGGGTCTCATCAAACTGGGCAAGCCCACAGGCAGATCTTGCCTGGGCTGCTGCCTGGGCAGGATGATGCAATGCTGACGTCATAATGACATCAGCAACCAAAAAAAATGGAAAAAAAAGGAAAAAAAAAACCAAAATTCCAGAATAGTTTTTAATAAATACCTAGACATATTCTTTACTTCCCACACTAAAAACTCTATACAAATTTATCTATTCATATCTCATGTGAATAGTATTTGTCATTGTCTTAGCCTTCCAAGGGTGAAACCAACTAAGGCAAGGCTGCCACTATTCACGTGAATAGTGGCAGCCCTTGCCTTGCCTTAGCCTTTATGGGTGGACTTGCTCTAAGGGCTTCTAATAAAAGCACTTTTATTATAAAAATCTTGAATTTTCATAAATAAAAAATCCATGTGCTTTTTGGAAAATCACTTGGGAGTGCTTCTTGAAGAAGCACATAGCAGGTGCTTCTTCAAAAATTGCTTCTATGACCCAGAAGAGCTTCTAAACTTTGCTGTCAAATGCTGTTAGAAGCGCTTTTAGTTGTTAGAAACCGCTTTTAGCATTTCTAGAAGCACCCCCAAACATGCCCTAATAATGCTTGGTAATTATTTATTTATGGGCTTTTTATAAATAGGCCTATTCTAACATGACATTTTATACAAAAATCCTTAGGTCTCGTTTGATTTGCGCAAGGATTTAATGAGAAATAATTTCCCAAACTTGGCCCTGAATACTCAATCTGAGCATGCCATGCTATATGTCCTCCTCTATTTGTCCATTTAGAAGTGAAAACATATTTAGAGGGGCTTAACGGTCTGGCTTCGATTTTCAACAAGGATAAAACTCAACAGAAGGAGAACAATTAGGGCACCAAAACTTGGAGATCTTGAATCTCCAGTCATTTTAGAGTAAGTCAAGTTTTGAAGTATGAGAATGTTGGTTGGTATGGTATTAGGCTAATGCCGTTGTCATAAGAGGCTTTATGTAGTGTGAATGAAGTCTTCTTGGTTTAAATGAGTTTTTTGTGTTTTGCCAAATTTGGTTTGAATGAGTTGGATTCTGTCTTTTCATCACGCTCTCATCTTTTTATTTTCCCTTCCATGGTTCCGTTCCGTGGTAACCAAAAGAAAAAGTAAATTCAATGGTCAACTTATAAATTAGTAATCAATCCATCAATCACCAGCAAATCTCACACCTAATATTAATGTCACACAAGATTTTTTTTTATAGATAATGAAAAATGCAATTGAAGAGTCGTAGATACTAATTTTAGTAATTTTAGTTTTTCAATCAGTGGGGAGAAATATCTAAATTTAGAAACTCTTTTACGATTGGGATGAAAAATTCCACTAGACTAAACCTATAATGCATGCAAATAAACGCTTGGGATATATGCTCTCTTTTTTTTTTTTGGGAAAAAATAATGGGAGTCTCAACATATTGTCAAGTGGTTTTGAGTTTTATTTTTTCATTGACATTTTCAATTAGTTTTAAGTTATTAAAGCGGGCAAAGTGATCATAGATGTTGTTAATATAAACATCTTATGTTGTTAGACAATAATTTGAAACGAGAAACATGCTGGAATACACAAAATTTAATTTCGCCCCCCAAAGAACCCAACACACTTTATAAGCAGGCCTCCAGGATGAGCTGAAAGGAGTGAAGAGGGCATTGAAAGCCACATAACTCTTGCTTGTTTGGATGCAATAACAGGCTAACCATACACAAGTTTTATTGCATTCTACTCTTGATCATGACTGAAGTAATACTTTTGTGAATTTGATATTGTTCTTACTCATTGTAATCACTTGTCTCATTATCTGTGTACTTAATCGAATTTCGAAACATTATTCTTGACAAATACAAGCATCACACACACATACAACAATCTGATAAAAGCATATCCAATAAAAGTAAAATTCAAATTTAAAAAATAAAATAAAATGGTGAAGCTAGCTTAGGGGTGCATGATAGTGGCACCAGAATACCCGTGGCCAACACCAGGGCTGGGGCCAGAGTTGTCTTTGATTTGATCAGGTAGAATCCGAGAATGCAGCCTGCCTCTGTGTCCTCCACCACCTTTGCTTGGCCCTGAACTCTTCATCATCCCAACTGACAAACCCTCCATTGTCCCTCTTTCCTTGGTCAATGGCCGAGCTTCCATTAAACCAACAAGACTAAAACTCAACAGGAGGAGGAGGAGGAGAACCAGACGAAGACTGCGAAAGCCTTGAGATCTTGGATTTCCAGTTCCAGCCATTTATTTAGCACTGCAGAGCAATATAATTCAAGTGCTTCAAAAGTTGCATTCAGAAAATGTCTTGGATGGTTGGTTTAGCTATGCTAAGAGGCCTTTTTATAGTATCATATTGGAAGCTCATGTAATTGTAAGTCTATTGGTTTAGATAGCAACAAGGGTTACTTGTTATTTATTTATTTGTTTATGTACCTTTCACGTACATTGACTCTATATTAGGTCTTTATCAAGGAAAACGAACAGTTGATTTAGGAGGAAATGCATTATGGCACACTACCATTTTCTTCTTGTTGCCATTTCTGGTTTATTTCAAGTTGGAAATTATACATGTACTTTTGAAATAGATTTCCATCCATGAAAGGCAGCACCAATTAACAATATAGAAACAGTTCTTTAATTTTTTATTGGCTTGTCCAAGCCCAAGCCCCAAAGCCCCTTGGGATTATGAGAAGGTTTGTTGACCCCTCCACATGATTAAAATCAGCAAATGCGGTTTTGCAGCTCGACCCACGTTACTCTTCTCTTGTTTCACGTTGTGACCCCCAAAAGGCAACATTTTCTTCTCTCTCACGATATGGGAAAAAATAAAATAAAATAAAATAAAATACATAACGATCATTCCTCTTATTTGTGTTCTACGCCAAAGATTAATTAGAGATCAATTCGACCACCTCTTGATCGCATGGTATGAGTCAAACGTCCACGACAATCATCTACAAATTACACGTGTTACATAAACTTATAGTTAATTTTATATGTGTGAGAGTTCAAATTGTTTAAACAATTTTAGGTGTTAAAGAACATCCAATTCAAAATCATTATTAAAGTAATAACATTAAGTGAATAACGTTTTATAAAACTCTACCTATTCTGACATGAAATAAATTCTCAACATGCGTCTTCATTTGATCACCAGATAAGCATAGTGTGCTGACCTTTTTTCCCCCTAGTCGACATCAATTCTCTTCATTTTGGATACGTACGTAACAAATTTAGGACTTTTGATGTGTCACGAAATAATGACAATAGTTCTTCTAGCTTGCTTACTTCCACAACACTAATTTGACTCCAGAGCTTGGTGAGCACAGTATCAATATGATGGGGAAAGCCACCTCCAAGAAACCCATCAAAGTGTTACTACACAAGCAATTAATATTGCTTCATGCAAAAGCTTTCACTGAGATTTCATTGATAGACTCAAAGTCGTCACTCTGCCGACAATTCCATATCCAATTGATAATGTACTTGGTCTCTTTCGAACTCCTAGCAAGCACTACGGAAAGATTTCGTTCATTGATGGCCATCCTCTCTAAAAACTGTGGAATTTTACCAGAATGAATAATGTACACAATAATAAGTTAGGTCTCCATACTTCCAATTTGAAGGATCTCATGTAATGCTCCTTAAAAAGCTCAAAATTGATGGGTGTTTACTATATTTGGTGATGTGTGACAACGTACGTACAGGGATGAAACCGATTTAAAGGTAGCAAGTTCAAACTATTTGGTTAAAGGACAAGAATGCTAATGGTTGCTGACAAGTATATAAGTTTTTCCTTTATGATAAAAAAAGTATAATTACATAACTATAAAAGAATGACATTACTAGAATATTGTCAAAACAGTTTCTTTTGTCACACCGAATGACACCGGACAAATGGAGAATAAGAGGGAAAACTACAAGTGAACACTTAAAGATAAACAACTAGTCCTGCTACATCCCGGAATCGGCTCCGTCGTAGCACGATATTTTCCGCCTTGGGCCCCCCTCTCTACCCTCACGGTTTTGTTTCTAGGAATTCACGATCAACTTCTCAGTGGGTCACCCATCCTGGGATTGCTCTAGCCCCAACTTGCTTAACTTCGGAGTTCCCATGGAATCCGAAGTCAGTGAGCTCCCAAAAGGCCTCGTGCTAGATGGAGGTGGGCATGTACATATAAGGCACATCACCCCCTCTCCGTTGGTCGATGTGGGATGTTACAAGTCCTTATAAGGACTCCACCAAAAAGATAAAAACTAGGAAACAAGAAGAAACCATTCTTCTCAAGAGTCACATGCTATAAAATTCACTACAAATATATGGATGCCATCAGGAGCGGATCCACAGAGGAGCAAGGGTGGTCAATTGACCCCTGCAACCTCTGAAATCCTCCATTAGAGCAGCCAAACTTAACCCTCGCAAGGTGTCCGACGAAATGCCCTAAAGGGGCAACTTGTGTGCAGCTTCAACCTCTTTTTTTTTTTTCCTGCTTGACGTCAAAACGACGTCATTGCACTTAAGTTTTTATTTTTTAAACCTGGCCAAAACAATGTCGTTTTGGCACAAGTTTATAAAATTATAAAATTAAAAAAAAAAAAAAAAAAAAACTCAGCAATTGCTGCTATGCTGCCCGATAATTCCCCCCCTCCCCAAATGAGTTTGAACTCATTTCTCACTTTTCAAGTTCTCAACCCTAAATCCCCAACCCCAACTAAACCAACCTTCACCCAATTCAACGGTGGCTTCCCCCACAAATCCGATGGCGGGGGCGAC